AGCATGATATGCTTGTGGCACATACAAATATTTAGAAAAGTACCTTGTCTGGTTTTTATATTTTTATGCTGTACCTAGTTTCTGAAACGTGTATTTCTAAAGCCAGTGAATTTTAGGAAAAATGCATTTTTAAATTACAGCAAATAAACAATGGAAATAAAGTTCTCTTAATTTCCTTTAGAAGCCTTCTCTATAACCATTTACTGATGACTGCTCTGCTACTAATTAAATTGGTGAATGGATGGGAATGTAAAATTAGTTAGTGGTCCACTTATGGTGCCTGCTGATTGTCTCTGAGCTGTTGATAACATGGTCTCAGTGTCTGAAGAGCTTGGGATCTGATTCCAAGTCCTGTCTGTACCACTCGTGCAAGGTAGCAAATCACAGGCAGATGACGTATCGCAGAGCTTTCTGTGACAATAGGACATGGAGCTGTTGCTTCTCATAAAAGACTGCAGCAGAATGAGTGTGCCATCGCATTTAGTAGGGCTGGCAGTCATGATATGTGGGGGCATGAACAGAAAGAGAATTCAGAGCAGGGCCTGGCCTTATTTTACATTCCTATTCACCAGCAGATCTTTTAAAAATTATTACAGCTCTGCCTGGGAGCCCTGGCAGTGACTGCCACTGTCAGCAGAGGGAGTGTGTGAGCTAAGATGAAGCCCATATAGAATCTGGCTTTGTTTCCCTAAAATGAAATTCACAAAGAAAAAGAAATTACTGATTCAATTGAGATTGATCAGTTCTGTCTCCATTTGATTAAGCTGGCCACACAGAGAGGAAGAAGACTGACAGTTCTGAAAATTCACAAGCAAAAGATCAATTCATCTCATCCCTTTACTATATAGCTTTCCTTCCCTATTGTTATTTGAACTTGCCTAGAGAAATCCTGATAAACTGGCACATCTGGCCACCAGAAAAACAACCCTTCCTTGCAAAATTAAGTAAAGGTATTTCTTGCTTAATCTATCATGTCCGAAAATGATAAAATTAAAGCTGTTAATATCCTTGTGTTGTTCCTTACAAGTAAAAACCTTTATGAATCAATATTAAAAAACAAACCAATACTGCTCTAATAAGATCAATTAAGTCACTGCCTTTATATCTCAATGTGGAATAGGACAGGTAAGTCTACAGTTATCCAAGTACAGCATTTTAAATTTTGTTTTAAAATAGCAAAATAATAACAAGTATTACTTTTGATTTTTGTCCTGATTTTTCAGAGTAGTTTCCCACAATTTACTATTTTAAAAAATCATATGCAAATATATTAAGAACTACCATAAGATTTTTGTTCCCAATACTTGTAGTCCAAACTATTATATGGCTGAAAGTTGATTTCTACATCTCTGCACAATCCATTAATTTTAGTTTCCAAATCTTTATATGCCAAAAACCCCAAACATGAGCTTCTAAACATCTGCTCTGCATTTCTTCTGCATATGCTGAGTTAACAAAAGTATTAAGCTTTAGTGGCAAGATAGCAGGGGCCCTGCATACGATGTCTACATAACCATGTGGAAAGAGTTCCACTTTAAAATTAAAGCCACAGGCCCTGGCCAGGTGGCTCAGTTGGTTGGAGTATCATCCTGTACACCAAAAAGGTGGGTTCAATGCAGATACCTATGTTGCAGGTTTGATTCCCGGTCTGGGGGCGTACAGGAGGCAATCGATCAATGTTTCTCTCTCACATTGATGTTTCTCTCTCTCTCTCTCTCAAAATAAATGAATGAATGAGTGAATGAATGAATGAATGAATCAATCAGTAAGAACCAAATCTTCAGGTGAGGGTTAAAAAAAACAACCACTGCCCAGCCGGGAGTGGCTCAGGGGTTAAGCATCGACCTAGGATTCAGGCGATCGGGGTTCGATTCCCGGTCAGGGCACATGCCCGGGTTGCGGGCTGGGCAGCCAATCAATGACCCTCTCATCATTGATGTTTCTATCTCTCTCTCTCCCTCTCCTTTCCTCTCTCTGAAATCAATAAAGATATATTTTTAAAAAAACCAAAAAACAACAACAACCACTTCCTTTTGACTCCCCCAAAATGCCAGCCTTTCGAACATGTGAAGAAACAAATGCAGAATGTACTTCCACAGAGCAATGCATCTTACAACTTGCTTTCTTGATCTTACTGTACAGATCTTCAGCATCACTTCTGAGACATCTACAAATTCAGTACAAAATACACTTTTCTGATGTCACAGCCCTCCAACAGGCTATGCCACCTGAACTTAGATTAAATAAGACCTGTCAGACTCTATATTCATGAATTTCAACAGGACCTCTGTAGCACTATGAAGCTAAGTACTCACATTCTTAGAGTCCCCATTTCAGGTTTCATACTTTCAAATGCCTCCCAAGATAACAGCTAATGTCAATCACAGCAGAAGTCTAAGGAGGCATAACTCCTACATTTTTGTTTTTTTTAAATACTTATATTGATTTTTAGAGAGAGGAAGGGAGAGGGAGAGAGAGAAACATCAATGTGACAGAGACACATCAATCAGCTGCCTTCTGCACACCCTCTACTGGGGACTGAGCCTGCAACCCAGGCATGGGCCCTGACCGGGAATCAAACTAGCAACCTTTCAGTGCACAGGACGACGCCCAACCAACTGAGCCACACTGCCCAGGGCGGTGTTGTTGTTTTTTTAGTATATAATATCCATATGTTTATTTTCAGTAAAATGGGGAGAAAAAATCTTTAAAACACACTTTAGAAACACTCAATATTATCAGTGTTACTTTTGACTAAAAGGGCCAAAAGAAGCACCTTAAACTGATATTCCAGTCACACACACCCCACTCTCCCCTCCAACCCCGGCACTCACTGTTACACTGGTCACAAGCGTAGACTCTCCCTTCCAGGGACTCTGTCTCTGTGAACTTGGCCAGCATCTCAGTAAGCAGGCACTCTGTCTGATTCAAAGGGACAAACCCCTTTTCTATGCAGTGATAGCGTTCAGGGAATTCCAGGGACAGATCCCAAAAGGGCTCAATGGTGTTGGATTTGTAATTGCATGATATACATGTGACCTAAAATGAAAAGAATGACTTAAAGGTTATATAACTCCATGCTTCCCACATACGTTTTTGTTTGCTTTATACAAGACACATAACTTGACCAAAACTAAGTGTAGTTTTCAAAAAATACTTTATTTGTAATATTAAAATAATAAGCATAACTTTAAGAGCGTTAGAGCATGTTACTTCTGTATCTATTTCTAACTATGTGATGCTAGCTGGAACTGGAAAACCATTGGGCACAGAGGTATTACCTACCCCTTTCTCTTCTTACCCAAAGGATGCTCTACCATATTCAACGCTGCAGTGCAGATTCCTGTCTGCTTCTCTTATCCTCACACTCCTTCCTCTTCCAGACCTTGCTCCTTCCATGCAATCCTAATTTGCCTCTTTTTTGCTCCTGATTCTTGTAGCATCCCTACACCGATCCCTGTGTTCACAGAGCTTCAAACTACCTTGTGATTGATTAGTGCACCTTTATAACCTTCCCAGATGCACTTTCTTCCAATGGACCCTCAGGGGATAGAGGAAATGCCCATAAATACTCCCCTCTCAAATGCTAAAAGCTTAAATAAACATTCTCTTCCCATCCTACTCATCATTCTTTTAAAACCGGAAATGCCAAGACACAAACCTCAGTAGCACAGTGTAGAGGTTTTACCTGAATCTCTTAAGTTGCCCACCTTTTTAACTTTAAAAATTCTTTCTGCATATTCTCGCAAAGCCTATCTAAGAGTCTTTGCTTTGGTCTGTATATGGCTAAAGATCCAGGAATTGAAAGGTAATGAGGAACACGAGGGACTCTTGTTTAGGCCTTTGGCACCCTCCTAGCCACGTCCCTTCCTTGTATGTAAAGAGTGTCTAGTTAGGAAGACTACATACTCCTTCAAACTACCACAGAAGCAGGGTTAAGGCAAAGTGTTCAATTTCCTAAAATTTATCAAAGGATGGCATGCCAACCATGGGTACTTAATTATAATGAGAATATTAGATTACTCATATCATCTTTAAAGGGTAGACATTCATTGAAAATGAAACGATAAGGCAAGTTACACTGAAAATCTGCCCAGAAAGAGACAGGAGGCAAGTTCACCAAGGCCACCACAGTGTACATAGCACAATGGAAGGTAAATGGCCACCCTCCATTATGAATAATTACAGCCACTGTTGGTTACCCCATTAGGCCAACAACCTGCAGGAGGCACTCATAGGAAACTCAACCGCTAACATACAAGCTTCCCCTAATGCGATGGGCGGCTGGGGTTAGGATGGACACACCTACCTGACTGAGTAGCTGCCCGTGGAATATGGTGTTCACCACCTTTAAGACCTGTTTGGTGAGCTTCCTCTGGGAGAAGGGGATGAGGATCCGGCGGGTCGTGCCCTCGGACTCGAGTTCTTGCTGCACTTTGTGCAACAGCTCGCAGAGAAACTCCTGAGCGTCCTGCTGGTCATAGCCGCGGAAGGCAGGGATCAGACTCCACACGGAGTGAAGCATGGCGAAGGGCGACACCAAGGCCCACTTCCCGGACCACATGACTCGGAAGAGGGTGTGCAGTTCATGGCAAAGGGAGATGTGCTTCGAGCTGGGCTCCTTGTTCTGGATGAGTTCCAGGCTCCTGGTGATGGAGGCCCCGCCATTCCAGCAGAGACTGTCCCGTTCGCAAGACTCAGCCCTGTAGGTCCTTGGTGATAGCTCGGTGGCCGAGCTGCTGGCCAGCCTGCCCGAGAGAGGCGCCTTCCCATTGGTGGCTCTGGAAAAGAGCTGCTCCGTTTTGGAAGGGTCGAGGTTCAGGAAACACTCTCTGAACTTTTGGAGGTGGCTGAGAACCTGTAGGATGGAGTTCATGTAGCAGGTGTTGCCCAGGTTGCGCAGGCCGGTGACGCCCGGAGCCATGGCCGGC